AACGTGGTGCTGCTTTCCATGAGATTGACCTCAAGACCCACCAGCGCTGCATTCCGAGGCCAGTACTGTGCCTTTGCTGAGGCCAAGAGAGAATCCCCCATGAGCTTTGGTATGAGCAGCTTCTCTCTGTTCTGGCCCCAGAGTTTCCATTAGGAACCATCTCAGATCCAAGTGTCGCCCATGTGGGAAACAGAAGGGCAGAGGCTGGGGGGCCCTCTCAAATGGGGAATGAGGAAGCCTCAGAGGATAGAGGGGAGGCCCACAGCATCTGATCCTTCTCTTCCTTCTACCCACTGGAAAAGAAGATCCTTTGTTAATGGATGAAACCTTAATAGCCCCAAGGCTGCAGTTAAGCAAGACATGGGATGGAGTACAAGGTCTAACAAAAACCCTGCTCACGACTGCTTTCCCCAGACCGAAGGCTAAACCCATGCAAGATGGCTTGGTGAGTCATCTGCTGCCAGCCCCTTCAGAATGGCCCTCCATTCTGCTCCCTGCTCTTTACACATAATCAGGAGAGAGTGCTGGGGTCCAGAGTTGCCCTTGAAGAGAGGGATGGAAAAGTGGCTCAGACGTGGGAGGGGGTGACCAAAAGAGAAAGCCTGGACTCCTCACCTGCCCTCTGGGAGATCAGATCTCTCCAAGAGGAGCCCCTGGATTTGGAAAGTGCTCAGGAAGGCAGTACTGAGCACCAAACCGCCCAGAACCCTCCACCTGCTGGCAGCAGCTAGGCCAAACTCTTGGGTTTGAAGAGTGAGAGTGCTGAGCACCAGGCTGCTCTCTGGCTTTCGAACCTCCCCACTGGGCCACAGATAATCCCTCAGCAGGCACTGTGGGAGGCCATACCCTTGTCCCAGCACCAGAGACCCAGGAAGACCAGGACGTGGGGCATAAATTCACGGTGCTTCATCTCCCTGCTGGGGAGGGGACTGAAGATCACAACCATTAATGGCCTTCTCATCTCAACCTCAGGTATGGGCGATGGCCAGTGGGAAGGCCTGGACACAAGGAACTGGCATGCTGTTAAGCATGAATGTGGAAAGGTTACCTAAGTGCATAAGGCTGTTCTTGTGTTGCTATAAAGCAACACAACAAATACCTGTCTGGGCACAGTGGCTCACACCTGTAATCCCAGCACTTTGGGAGGCCAAGGCAGGAGGATCACTTGAGCCCAGGAGTTTGAAACCAGCCTGGGCAACATGGTAAAACCCTGTTTCCACGAATAATATAAAAATTAGCCAGGTGTGGTGGCACATGCCTGTAGTCCCAGCTACTAGGGAGGCTGAGGTGGGAGAATTGCTTGAGGCCAGGAGGTTGAGGCTGCAATGAGCCAACACTGCATCACTGCACTCTAGCCTAGGTGACAGAGTGAGGCCCTGTCTCAAAAAACAAACACAAAAAATCACTGAGACTTAGTAATTGATAAGAGGTTTAATTGGCTGGCTTGCAGTTCTGCAGGCTTTATAGGAAGTATGGTGTTGGCATCTATCTGCTCAGCTTCTAGAGAGGCCTTGGGAAGCTTTTACTCGTGGCAGAAGGTGAAGCGGGGGCAGGCACATCAGATAATAACGGCAGGAGCCAGAGAGAATTGGGGGTTGAGGAGAGGTGCCATACACTTAAACGACCAGATCTCAAGCGAATTCACTCACTATCTCAAGGATGGCACTAAGGGGATGGTGCTAAATCATTCATGAGAAACCTGCCCCCATGATCTGATCGCCTCCCACCAGGCCCCACCTGTAACACTGGGGATTTACATGTCAACATGACATCTGGGCAGGGACACAGATCCAAACCATATCACCAAGTGCTGATACCTCAAATTGTTTTCAGTGCTGTCTTGCATTGTGGCAGGCCTGGGAGAATTCAGACTGAAGTTTGTCCTTGTCTTCCCTTCATCAAAACTTACTTGTGACCCTCACTACATCTAGCTTCCCAGATCACCTAACTTGTTAGTACCTCTTCTCTTGTCCAGTCTTTTTCATCCTTCAGGTCTCTGCTCAGATGCCACCAACAGTCACTGCCACATCATCCTCTTTCATTCTTTCAGAGCACTTACTGCTGTCAGTGACTCTTTTTAAGAAAGGGTCTCCCTCTGTCACCCAGGTTGGAGTGCAGTGGTGTGATCATGGTTCACTGCAGCCTTGACATCCTGGGCTCAAGTGATCTTCCCACTTCGGCCTCCCAAGTAGCTGGGACAACAGGTGCACGCCACCACACCTGACTAATTTTTGTATTTTTAGTAGAGATGGGGTTTCACCACGTTGCCCAGGCTGGTCTTGAACTCCTGCACTGAAACAATCCACCCACTTTGGCCTCCTGAAGTGCTAGGATTATGGGTGTAAGCCACCGTGACCAGCCGTTGGTGACTTTTCTTGTCTCTCTCAGTGGAATGCAAGTGTCATGAGGACAGGTTCCTTGCCATCTGACTTTTCCCTGGTGTATCCTCAGGAACCAGCAAGGGACTTGGCACATAGCATATAGCTGTTGAATGAGTGTTACCTCTTCTTCTAGTATCTTCCTATGAGGCACTTCAGGAAATACAACTCAACTGAATAATACTTGCTTGCGACTTTAGTCTTCATGGAATCCTGGTGAGGGAGGGCTTTGAGTGAGAAGGGTCTTAAAGAATGCTCTAGAGGTATTTTCTCAGTTCTAGAGGCTTTGTTTCTCTATTTGCATCAGTGGAGCTCCACTGGGGTAATGACTGGCAGATATTCCCTCCCAAATGCCGTACAGGAAATTGGGTAGGTTTCTCCCTGTCTTTTGACTGCTGTACGGCCACTCTGCCAGAATACTGGGTTTTAGAATCCTGTGAGGATTACGTTAAACTTTTCCCCTCAGTACTCATGTTCTGAAGTTAAGAAGGCTAGTGGAGCCCATGAAGCTGATTCTGCTCTAGATAAGTAAATGCATATCCTGGGCCCCCCTTGAGTTTTGGGGAGAGGTGGGAGTTCCTGCACCGATGCGACCATTGAAAAGCCTGGCAAGCCCTGCCATTGTGACCTGGGTGTTCTGTATCTGCTGGGCGCTCGGTAGGGAGTCACTTTCCTATGCCGTGGAGAGCAAAAAACACAAAAGTAGCAACTTAGTAACTTTCTAAATAAGTCACCACTATTTGTTTCTGGCCATGCCTCCTATGGGAGCAATGACTGCACTTCTATGCTTCAGCTTTTGCGGGGAGTTTCTCATTCCCGGGCCTCAGGCTGGAATGAACCAGTTTCACTCAGCGGAAAGCTGTTCCCAGGGAAAACCATGAACTTGATGGCAGGGCTGCTCAAAAGCTTAGTTTATCTGGAGTGTATCTTTCTCCCTCCCTTTGATCACCCTCCCCAGCTGAGTTCCCAAACTTACACGTTAGGCAGCAGTGGCTTGTGAAGATGAGAATAGCCCCTGTCCTTACTATAGCTTCTAGAAACATGGTTGTCTAGGAACTTGTGAGTTGGATGAGGTCTTCTTGCTGGTTCATCGGATAATGGTTGAGCCTTTGTAATCCTAAATATTTTCATTTCAAATAAAGTTGTTAAGCCCAATCAGAAAAAAGAGGGAATAAAAAGTGTTGGGTAAGTGTAAGCTCTTAAGAGATACTGGGAGCTCTGGAGGGATCTAGGGGAGACTCCCACTTCTTTCTGGAGTTCATATATTTATTTTAGAGACAGGGTCTCATTCTGTCACTCAGGCTGGAGTACAGTGGCATAATCACAGCTCACTGCAGTCTCAAACTCCTGGGCTCAAGTGATCCTTCCACCTCAGCCTCCCAAGTAGCTGAGACTACAGGCCCACACCACCATGGCCGGCTAATAATAATAATAATTTAAAAAATTGCAGAGATGAGGTCTCCCTATGTTACCCAGGGTGGTCTCAAACTCCTGGCCTCAAATGATCCTCCTGCTTCAGCCTCCTAAAGTGCTGAGTTTACAGGCATGAGCCACTGCAACTGGCCACTTTTCTGGAGTTTAATAATGGAGTTGTGTCAGAATATGCTAAGTTATGATGTGGTTTCAAGAGCAACCCAGCCTTCTCACTCGGGCCACAGTCCATACGTGCAGCACGTGGGCTCTGCTCATTGCAGTCCCCTGGGCACCAGCCTGACGGTTATGTTACCTGGCCTGAGGGGAAGCACGCTGTGGGGTCTTTGCACTGGCAGTTAGATGCTCTGGACAGAAATGACAGTCACTGGCTGGAAGTGATCTTACAACCATGCCCAAACACGAGAGTTGTGAAGGACAATTTTCTTATGTCTATAGGGGAAAGAGCTGGAAGTATTTGAACAGTTTCAGAATCAGCAACAGGAGTTGACTGTGTTGGCCATTAGGGCTTCAGTTCAAACTGATGTCAGACTTTTAATCGTTTAGTGGGCTTGAAGGCCACAAAAGCAGGGTTTCCTAGCCTTGTTCTCCTGTTCTAGCCAAGAGAAATTGTCTCGGTTTATTTTAGAAAAAGCCCTTTTTAGCCACTGTAGTATCAAGAGGCAGCTTTAGAGGATGGATGGTAATTTGAGATTAGGAGCTGGGATCTGGTATTGTAGGCATGGGTGTTTCAGAATTACTTGGGGAATACAACCTGGGGTTGCCTTAATAGGAGTAGAAGCAGCAGGTCAAGGGAGGGGTAAGTACCCCTTTATTTTGCATAGTCATATCCTACCTGATACAACTGTTCCAAGTACCATACTTGGAAGGCAGCTTTGTCAAGCTGGAACCCAAGGAGGGTTACCGGGGGAGTTGGCAGTCTTGGGAGTTGGAAGGGATTACTTGGTAGCTGCTCTAAGTATTTGAAGAGGTGTCAGAAGTTTTCTCCTTACTGGTAAGGAATTTACCTCTTTGTAGTGAGATGAATTGGACTGCATTGTAGGTGGTACACTCACTACTCTAAGTGACCAAAGAAGCTGGAGAAGGGATTTGACCCTTCCGAGTGTAGAGAGAAAGAGTGGTTGCCATGGGTGATTCCTCAGGTCCCATCCACCTCTGTCATCATATTTCTATGATTCTGTTTTTTCTCAGAAATAAACCTTTCCTCACGGGAGAGAGTGAATGCCAGTTGAGACCTCACTAATATGAAGACACGGCTGCTCACAACTATTCCACTGTGAATCCCTCAGGAGTCCTGAAATTGGTGGTAGGATCTCCATTTTACAGGTGAGGTGACTGAGGTTGAGAATGAAGGAAGCCAGGCACTCGTGCAGTCTTACAAGGTATTGTAGTTATAAGTGGAGTCTGGAGTCACATACAGGCTCTGCAGCTTTCTAGCTATGTGACCTTGGGTAACATCTCAGTCTAGTCTCTGCAAAATGGAAATGATAGCACCTCATAGGGTTGTGAAGATTAACCAGTTTATAGGCAGCATCTTAGCACAGAATGTGAGCTAAATATGCTTCATGTATTTACTACTACAATGATGATCAATGTCTGAACTAAGTTTAAGACACTATAGGCAAGCAAAACTAACTTCTCTTTCCCTTTTTCCTGTCTCCCAATGTAGATGCAACAACATTTTCCTCACTTCCTGGAAATGGCTCCGTTCTAGCATTTCAACATGATCCAGGAGGTAAGATTTCTTTACTGGAGAATACTAGATACACTCCCAATCTGTTGATCACATTTAGAGACCTGAATTCCCTAAACCCATCTTAAACTGATGGCAGAAAGCTGGTGTGTATTCAGGATGCAAACTATGCTCTTTGACTGGTCATGTCGGGAAATGGACAAAATCAACCTTTTTGATCCAGATTTCAAGCTATATACTCTCCCAACTTTACAAACTCACAAATTCAATATGTTTTTAGTCATTTTTAGTGTATTATGTCTAAGGTTTTGTATTTCTCAGGCTTAATCTGAATAACATTACCCAGGGGCCATTGTCTCCATAATCCATTCCCAAGTCCAGTATAAACTTAAACATAAAGCACGTTCTCATCTTGCATTGAGGTCAGTTTGAGGGTAAAAATCCCAACGGGCGGCATGTGATATTGAAGCACTATTGGGATGCTTTGTTGATGGGGCTTTTTTTTTTTTCTCCCTGTCTTCCACAAATGTCTTAGTGACAGTGATGGTTAAGTCAGAGCATCTCAAAGAGTCTGAGCGTTGAATCTTCCAAAGTGTTCGAATCTGTGGTAAGGGAAATGAAGCACAAGGTAAGTTGAGGGTTGGACTGTGTGCTGTTGGACTCTTGTTCTTGTGACAAGGTCAGCAGTCCCTTGTAGGCATGTCAGTTCCTGCCCCCGCACAGGCATGTGTACACACACTCACGTGCACACACACACACTCCTGGCTTTTGGTTTTTTTCCCGGGTAGGAAACTGTTCTTTATACCTTGACTTGCTGATCTGTCTTCTACCAGGGATCCAGGAACATTACTAAGGGGCAATGGGACTTAGGGTGGGGGTAACAGGCTGGGATTGAGGTGATTAGATTCTAGTCTCAGATGAGTCCCTGATAGGGTTTTGGACAAAATCTCCGTTTTAAATTTGTTTTCTTAGCTCTATAGAGTCCACATGTAAGGTTTTTTGTCTGTTTGTTTGTTTTTGTTTGTTTGTTTTGGGATGGAGTTTCACTCTTGTTGCCCAGGCTGGAGTGCAATGGCACAATCTTGGCTCACCGCAACCTCCGCCTCCTGGGTTCAAGCGACTCTCCTGCCTCAGTCTCCCGAGTAGCTGGGATTACAGGTATGCACCACCACGGCTGGCTAATTTTGTATTTTTAGTAGAGATGGGGTTTCTCCACATTGGTCAGGCTGGTCTTGAACTCCTGATGTCAGGTGATCACCCGCCTCGACCTCCCAAAGTGCTGGGATTACAGGCATGAGCCACCATGCTCGGCCCACATGTAAGTTTAACAAGGTTTTAGTTCTAACGTTTCTAACTCACTGAGACCTAACTGATGAGGAACACTATTACTGTCATTATCACCAGCACCAGCATCGTTACCCTTTCTCTGAACTGGTGGTTGACCTGTTTTTGGGAAGTGGTTGTGAAGATTAAATGAGTTAACATGACAAGTTTCAAACAGTGCATGGGTATGGCCTATAATACAATCTATAAAGTGTTAGTCGTGATGAGAAAACATTGCTTACAGGATTGTGAACTGTGATATGCCTCTTGGAAAACAATGCAGTAGACATATTAAGAGCCAAAACCAAATGGTTCTCAGACCAGAGATCCCACTTGTAGAAATCCCAGAAATATATAACTTTGGAAAACTCATACCAACATATTCATCACAGGATTATTATGTAAATTTTAAAACGAGTGGCTAACAAGATCAAATAAATTAGATCATCTACTTGACTCCTTTGTAGCCACTAAAAGACTAATAGCATTGCAAAAAAAAAAAAAAAGAAAAGATACAAGCCTGCAGGCCTTTGACATAACTATAATGACGTAGTTATGTAGTAGTATACAATGATGAACACTGTAACATTGCTATAGATCCTGGAGTATGTGGGCTTTGGCATTATGAGTCTTCCTATTTCTTTCATAACTAACAAAGAGGTCTGCAACAGATGACACAGGTAGTCGAACACAACCAAAAGTGGGAACAGAAGACAATAAGGTCCTTTACTTTTTGTCAAGACCTGACTTGACTTTAATGATCAGTAACTAAATGTCCACTCAGTAGTTATTTCCTGGAATTAGTTGCCTTTAACTTTTGTTCTTAAAGTCTCTTCAGAAGAATCCACTCCTAACAGAGATAAGCAACAGTGGTCTACATGATGCCATGGTTCATTGGGTCTTTTTTGGCAACACTCCAAAGTATTCTCAATCCGAAGGCAGCCTCCACAATCAGTTGGTAGCAATGTGTTGTCTCTTGGCTAGTTCTAATAACAAACAAAGATAGTCTTATAACATCATAATCCCTACTCTTGCTTGCAGATCTTCGGAAAAAACAACAAACAAAAAACAACTGCTATTCACTCTAAAATGATGAAGGCAAGCTAACTGGAATGGAAAAGTAAGTGTTCTCGAGGTTTAGTAGTTTTATTCAAGATGTGTTGGGCCAGGTGTGGTGGCTCATGCCTGTAATCTCAGCACTTTGGGAGGCCGAGGTGAGAGGATCACTTGAGCCCAGGAATTCGAGACCAGCCTAGGCAATATGAAGAAACCCCATATCTACTAAGAATACACGTACATAAACATTAGCTGGGCATGGTGGCGTGTACCTGTAAGTCCCAGCTCCTTGGGAGGCCGAGGTGGGAGAATTGCTTGAACCCGGGAGGCAGAGGCTGCAGTGAGCCAAGATCATTCCACTGCACTTTAGCCCAGGTGATGGGAGTGAGACCCTGTCTCAAAACTGTTAATTTGAGTTATTTGTGGTTATTCCATTTGGGGGAGAAAATATATAGTTCTACTATAGTTCAATTACCTGAAATAAAGGGAAAATACCCATAAAGTGTTAAAACTAGAGTGTCAAACAAGATCTTGATCAGTTTTCCCTTCCTTTGTAGTAAATGGGAGAAGAGCCTGGTAAAACACAACGAACTGTGGCCAGGGTCACTAATGTCTTGAAGAGTATGATTAAAAATCTTCTCCCTGGCTGGGCACTGTGGCTCACTCCTGTAATCCTGGCACTTTGGGAGGCTGAGACAGGAGGATCTCCTGAGAACAGGAGTTCAAGACCAGCCTGGGCAACATAGCGAGACTGTCTCTACAAAAAATACAAAAAAGCTAGCCAAGCATGGTGGCACATACCTGTTAGTCTCAGTTACTCAGGAGGCTGAGGCAGGAGAGGATCACTTGAGCCCAGGAGTTCAAGGCTGCAGTGAGCTATGATTGTACCACTGCACTCCAGCCTGGATGACAGAGAGAGAGAGAGAGACGCTGTCTCTTAAAAATAAACAAAAACATGCCCTGTGCTAAACCTGCATGTGAAAATCAGCTTTTTTTCTACAGAGATGAATTAAGAAATTACTTGGTGGAAAAGAATCCTTATGAATGCAATAGTCTACAATATAGCTTCATAACTTTACTGTCTAATCTCAGAGTCTTTGAAAACAATGTCACATTTCTTTACCAAGTGGTGTTTAGATTGTTTTCTTCTCCTCCCTTTCAAACCATTCCTAGAAAAGACGCTGTGAATGTCACGTATGCTTCCTGGCTACACTCAAGGTCTCAAGGAATAGATGTGCCTGATCCCCCATCTTACCAGATAAGGGCCCTCACTGAGGATGCTCTAGGAACCCACAAGGTGGCAAAGAGGTGCCCCTTCCTTGAAGGTATGGATAGGTCTCTTGGCTGCTGGTGGTCAATAGCATGTGCCACACTTGGATTAGGCATGATTCAATCAGGATCAAGTTGAATTAGGCAAAGTCCCCCGATGCTAGGCCACGTCATTTCCCATGGAGAGCGGACCCTTACTCAGTCTACATCATGGGAATGTTATGCTTGTCCCTCAACCCGAGGAAGAACTGGCTATTAATTCATCATGTATGTAATATATTGTATTGCATTTTACTATGGGTTAGGCATTATTTGGGACACTAGGGATTCAATTGCAAACCTAAAAGGCAAATCCCTTCCCTCGTGTACTTCACAGTCTAATCAGGAGATAGACTGGATAAATTACAGAGTATCTGAGTTGATATGCTCTATGGAGAACAATCAGATAAAGGGGATAAATAAGGTTTTGTGTATGCACATGTATATGATAATAGTCTTTAAAAGGTGGTGAAGGAAGGCCTCCTTGAGAAGATGATGAAGGAGAGCCATGTAGCTCTCAGGGGAAGAGGCTTCTGGATGGTGTTGAGGCCCTGCGGCAGGGTTGTGTGTGGTGTGTTCAAGGAACAGGTAGAGGCCAGCAACAGAGAGGAAGAGCAGCAGAGGAGCCTTTGGGACACTCTGGGAGACAGTGTGGTAGAAGGGACTAGACAGTGAGACTGACCAGAACAGCCTATTTCTTCTGTCTTTAGATGTGAATGGGTGTGAGACAGGCCTAAAGCTCTGGTGATCCTCGCTGCCAAGAGGACTGAAGTTCATGCCCCCATGCAGCTTGGCATGCTGTGTGTGCATGCTCCCCGCCCAGGTATCGGTTGCCCAGGCACCCTGCCACTGGCTGTATTTACCAGCGGCTGGGATCTCCTGGAAGTCCTGTACCCTGAGCAGGTCAGGGTGGAGCTCTTATTCTGAAGACTTTGGCCACAAATACCAAAGAAAGCATTTTCCAAAGGAAAATGTTCTAGACAAAGTCCAGGAACTGTTCTAGAACTTGGAACATGTTGTAAGATCATTTACTATGAGAATGTTCATTGTGCTGATTTTTCTTCTGCAACTTTGCCTTTAAAATACTTCCATAGTATGCTATTCCTGACTCTGATCAAAGTAGACGTGAGTAGGAATTAACTTGAGCATCCAGTTGTTTCCCCAAGGCTCCTTTGTGACCCTTGCTTTTGTCTTGCTTTTTTTCTTCTTATCAAAGATTATACTGGGCAGGGACTTGCACCGGAAAATCGATGTGAGCTCCTTGTGAGCGGGTCCAGCATAGAGCAGTTGGTAATGAATTAACGGATGCCCTTAGCCTTTTTAAGGACTTACTGCTGGTGATGGTAATTCATTTGGTACAGTTACCTCTGAAATAATGTAACCTGCCTGTGCTGCCACAGGCAGATCAATAGACATGATTTTTATTTCCCATCTTGCTAACTTGCTGTGTGACCTTGGTGCTCAGGTCTTGAATATCCCTGTGAAACAAAGGATTAGACTAGATGTCGAAGGCTTTGTTTAGATCTTTGAATGTTAGATGCTGAAATCCCAGCAAAGATGCCATTTAGCACAGTCTTTTTCCACTGGACTCTAAGGGCAGGTGGGTAATCTTGCAATGCTATTTGCAAGTTTTTTTTTTCTTGAGGTGGGGGTTTCTTAGTTTGCATATGTCAAGAGAAGATTGAGTTTGGCATAAAATAGAAGCTCAGTATATAGTAATTGAATTTCTTATGGCTAGAAATCTACATGTAACTGACTATTTAAAATATTTCATGTTTTTTTTCTTCCCCTGCCCTCCCAAGTGTCCAGATAAGTCAATGACAAGAGTTAAGTTGGAACAGGGTCTGTGAGTCAGTCATCTGGAGGTTGCAGTCATCTAGCTTCTGTGGATTTTGCTCTAAAGATAGTTTCTATTTCTTTGCATCCATATAAGCTATCTGATGGTAGAATACATTCTGAAATACAACTGGCCTTGTGCTTCTCTGGGTACATGATCTCAAATGTAATAATCTTTTAAAAAATAAACAATTTTTGATATGCATAAAATGAAAAATATTTAATCATCAGCTCTCAGGCAATTTAGATTCAGCATCACAAAGGGATGTTAGGCGTTTTCCAAAGTTAACTCTATGTGCATGCACAGGGTTCTTGAGGGAGCTATATAGCAAAAATAGGTGGCGAGCCCTTATATTACCAGGTTCATTTGTTCCAAGTCTGGCTTTGGCTTTTAATTAAATGTTAACATTTGTTTATTCTCTCAAAAAATATTTATCTATGATGTGCCTGACAACATGCTAGGGATGGGTATAAGAGCATAAATCTCTGAAGGTACTTTCGAGAGCCCATTAGGAAAGGGAATGGGCTCTCGCCCTGTTACTTAGTTCTCGGCCTGTCACTTAGTTCCCTCTAAAAAAAATTCCTCTGTGTTTCAGGAGTTGGATTATCCCTTAACTACCTGGGCCCGCTGGTTGGAGTTGCTGTGCTTACTGCAATCTTGCATATGTTAGTTATTGGTCTTGTGTGACTCGTGACTAGAACATACATGAAGAAGGCAGATTCTCTGGGTCAGAACACAACATTACAGGAGTGCCCACCTACAGCACCTACTTTTGACCTGAGGAATTTCTTTTCTTTCTTTCTTTTTTTTTTTCCCGAGACACAGTCTTACTCTGTTGCCCAGGCTGGAGTGCAGTGGCACGATCTCGGCTCACTGCAACCTCTACCTCCGAGGTTCAAGCGATTCATCTGCCTCAGCCTTCTGAGTAGCTGGGACTACAGGTGTGCACCACCACACCTGGCTAATTTTTTGTATTTTTAGTAGAGATGGGGTTTTGCCATGTTGGCCAGGCTGGCCTAGAACTCCTGACGTCAGGTGATCCACCTGCCAGGGCCTCCCAAAGTGCTGGGATTCCAGGCATGAGTCCGTGTGCCTGGCCAACCTGAGGGACTTCTGTAAGCTCCCTCCCTTCACCCCCTGCCAACCTAAGCTGCATGCCAAGGTGCTCAGGGCAAGAAGGTTCATCAGAGCTGGGAACCACAGGTCTGGAGGGAGCAATCAGAGGTCTGCTGCCTCCCTGATGCCTGTCTATAATGCAGGGTGGAAGAGAGGACCACCTTGTCTCCTGTTGGAGGTGCCATCAAGTCACACAGATTCTCTGTGAACTTGGGAAGAAGCAGCTTTAGTCCCATCCTGTGCATCATCCTTGTTCTCCATGATGTAAATTATGCTGGGCTTCTGACTCTGTCCCTGGGAGAAGGCCTGTATGCTGTATGTTCTGCATCAAGACCCAGCCTGTAGTCCCAACAATGGGCTGAGGTAGACCTCTGGTGACTCAGATACTCTAGTGATGAGTGTGGTCTGCAGGAGGTGCCCAGGGGAGCAGGAAGCACACGGCACCAACTTGGAAAGTTAACAAATGAGTTTAGTGATGGACACACAAGAAACTGTTAACATGTTTTAGAAACCTTACTTGGCCTCAGCACTTTTCTCTCCTTTTAGGCTGGGTGCGGGGTGAGACCTCCTCCTCCTTTTTCCTTCACCATCGGTTGCATTTTATTGGATTACAAGTTTGTATTTATTTTGTATTACAAGATCCTGTCTTCTGTTCTTGTTTTGGCCACTGTCTATGCCAGGCTGCTATTAGAGCCTGACAGCTTCACCCTAAATAAAAGAAACCCTTTTATGTGTAATTTAAAAAAATAAACAGAAAACCTCTAGATCTTTTTAAAATCTACCAGCAATGTTTGACTCCTTTACTTTTAAAAGTGGAGCTGTTCCCATTCCTCTGTTTTAGGCCTACACTTGTCATTTTGTAGAGGAGACCATTGGAGAGGATGCTAGGGGTCTTAAATATGGTTCTCACCCACGGTTTGCTTGCTTTTATTAGACTGAGCTAAAGGGTGGGGGAATTCACAAGCCATGAAAGAATAGATACTTGTATGTGCTTGCGTCTCATGGAGGTAAGAGTGGGAGAGATTTGTAAAGTAGATCAAGAAGAAAAACTTCGAATTAGGCAGGGTAGGTCCTGAGTTTCTGGAAGCAGGGCCACATTCTCTGCAGTGCCAGGCATGGGCACTCTTTTACTTGAAGGAACTCTTTTACTCAAAGGAAAGCTTCAGGATGAGGGGTGCTTCTAAGCTGGCCTTAGGTTCTTGAGAGATGCAGAGCTAAATGGGATTGGCAGCTCTGATCTTGCTGCAGCAGCCTCCTGGTCCAGCTTCCACATCTTAACCTCCCTAGAGAGCAGCCTAGTCGGCAGAATGGAGCTGGGGAGAGCCGGGTGGGGTGAGGTGCAGAGCCCTACTGAGAGGAGGGGAATGCAGTGTCTCCACAGACCCAGCTCTAGGGGTGGGAGGAGCAGATTCCATGCCTGACTCGTGGAAAGCAGAGGCATCAGGCACGGGGTGCTTTTGTGTGAATCGTGGCTGTATGGAGCATGCACTGGCTCCCATGTTGAGCCCCAGCGAAGATATGAGGCGAACAGTGTGCAGCTCTGTTCCCACTGCTCCCCAGAATGTGAAAGGTGGCACAGCATAGCTGCGGTACAGGGTGGTAGGGCTGCCCACCGGGATGATCCAGAGAGGTGCTGGGCCATAGTCCCCAGGTCTGTTCTGTCACCAGGTCTTCCATCATACTATAGGTTTCGAAATCTTTAAGGTCCCTCTCTTAAAATGCAAATACTCCTGTGAGGTTTGAGGCTTTATTATCCTATATCCTAGACTTGCCTTTAATAAAACAAAAAACCCAGCTTTATTAAAGTCTAATTTGTATATCATAAAATTCATTTTGAGTTGTTCCACCATGATGATCCAACCTTAAAATGCTATCACTCCAAAGATACTTCTACTTGTAGCCATTCCCATTCCCATTCCCACCCCGTCCCTGTCCCAGGCAACTACTAATCTTTCTGTCTGTATGGATTTGCCTCTTGACATTTCATATAGATAATACAATATGTGGTCTTCTGTGTCTTGCTTCTTTCTCTTAGTGTAATGTTCTTGAGACTCCCCCATGTTG